TAATTTAGGGGAGCCAACCAAACACCCTTCGGTGGGAAACACTTGAAGAAGTGAAATAATTAAGAAGAGAAAAAAGATGATGAGTGGGGGTGTAATGAAGTTAAATACAGAATGTGGTCATGGGTTTGGATCCCGTTTCTGAGTGCCATTTTCTGGATTTGGTCTTAAAACAACCCTTCAGTGTCTCCAAGCCAAGAATCTGAAGTGATTTACTTTGCTGTCACATACCAAGGCTGTGTGTTTTACCCAGGAGGTGGCACTGTCTGTAGTGTTTTGTCCTCTCACCTCCCTGTGCCTGTCAACAAGAGCTGGGTTGTTTCTGTGCAGGGCCAGCACACATTCCAGAGGTGATTCCTTTCCTCATGTCACCTGTAGCTCACACTAATTTCAGGGAAAATTAGAACTTATTTCAAGACAGCCTTAAGTCCAAAGGTGAAGGTTCAATCCTTACAAAAGGGCAGATCAGCTCAGGCAACTCCTCAGTGACTCCCTTGGCCGTTTTAGATCAGAAAACTTAGGAAAGCAAGATCCAAACTGCAACACCTCATTATGCAAGGGCTTAAAGTCTCCAGACTTGGAGAACAGCAAAACTCTTAATCTGCTGTTCATGCAAATGAGTGACTTCCAGTCTTGTTTCAGTGTCTCCACGGAACAGCGAGAGACGCGGTGAGATTTGCCGTCGATGTTGGGTATCGCCACTTCGACTGTGCCTACCTGTACCAGAACGAGGGTGACATCGGGCAGGCACTGCGAGAGAAAATGGAGCAGGGGGTTGTGAGACGAGAAGATCTCTTTATTGTCAGCAAGGTACGTCCTGGAGCGATGTGTCTCTCACTCTCATGGCCAGGAGGAGAGGCAGCTCCCAACCTTCAAGTGCCAGGAGATGAAGCTGCTCTGGGAATTAACTCTTCTCTATCAGGCTAAAGCAATTTGTAGATGGGGGGAAGGACTAGGTCAACCCTTGGAAAACAAAAGGCTTGATTTGAGAGGGATTTTTTTGTAGTCCATATCCATTGTCAGCCACGGAGACAGGAACTGAGGCTGTGCTCTGGGTCACCTCTGAGATAGGAAACAGGGCCATTGTGTTCGTGGTGGCTCCCGCTGCGCCGCCGGCCTCAGCCTGCTAACTCCTGTGTGTTATGCTTTGTTTTGTTTTTTCCTCCAACAACAATGGTAGGAAAAATAAAGTAACTTCTATCTGCTGGAAGCTAGGCAACTAGCGACAGGATGAGAGGACAGAGTCTTCGACTGCACCAGGGGAGGTTTGGGCTGGACATTAGGAGGAATTTCTTCACAGAAAGGGTGATTAGACACTGGAATGTGCTGCCCAGGGAGGTGGTGGAGTCACCATCCCTGGAGGTGTTTAAGGAAAGACTGGACATGGCACTTAGTGCCGTGGTCTAGTTGTCACAATGGTGTTTGATCACAGGTTGAACTCAATGATCTCAGATGTCTTTTCCAACCTAAGTGATTCTGTGATTTTCACCAGGTTCACTTTTTCCTTCATTTTAATTGTTGCAATAATTGTTGGGATTTTAGAGTATCCCATTCTCATTTTACTTAGCTGACCACAGATACCACAGATGAAACAAGGTGTACAAAATTGGCTCTTCCTCAAGAGAAGATGTGCCATATCGTGAGCTGCCTCTGTGCCTGTGCCACATGTTTCCCTGCCAGGGATGCTCAGCAGTTGTGAGGGTAGGAGAGCAGCTCTCAGGCTTTGCCTTACCCTGACAGCTGTGGTCTACCTTCCATGAGAGATCCCTGGTGAAGGAGGCATGCCAGAAAACACTTGCTGCCCTCCAGCTGGATTATTTGGATCTCTACCTGATGCACTCGCCCATGGGATTCAAGGTATTGCAACTTTTCCTCCTGGGTGACATCTGTCAGAGCTCTGCCCCTTTTGCCTTTGGGACCAGACATGCCTTTAGTCCTCTTTAACAAGAAGTGTTGTTAAACCTCATTAGGAAATAATGATGAACCTCCTCACGGAGAGCCCAGGAGGAAAGGTAAGGTCATGGCTGCTTAAAGTAGGTCTCTTAGTACGAAAATCACCTTATTGTACCCTGCACAGCATTTCCATGTCATGGATCAAATTACCATCCAGATCATATTCCTCTTAAAATGTGAGATTTGGCTGTTATTTGCTTATCCAGGATCAAACAGTTGTGAATTATCTGATTCCTGCTTTTCCCTTCTCTCTCTACCCTCAGGTTAAATAAACCCTCATTTCTGTCATGTCACATCCCTGGCCTTCCCCCACCCTGGCCAAGGCACACAGAAGTGCCTGCCCTTCCTCTGCCTGCAGGACAGAGCTCAACAGGCAGATTTTCTGGAAGGTTACTCTGTTGGTACAGATCCCTGGTTCTGGCCATGGCTCACCCCAACTCACCCTAACTCAGAATATCCAGTGTGTCTCTGGCTCCACTCACCTGCCCAATTTCCATACCGACTCACGTCCAGCCTGCCTTAAACTCCCTTTTCTTCTGTGATGATAGGCAGGAGAGGAGCTGTATCCTGTAGATGGAAATGGCATGATCATTCCCAGCAACACAGACTTTCTGGATACGTGGGAGGTATGTTCATTGACAGGCCAAAAAATTCCTGCTAGTTTGAAATAATAGCCTGAAAACTTTCAGCTTTCCACTTTGGGAATCTTTCTGAGAGAAGTTCCTACATAAAGTATTCCAGATTGCTGCTTTCCCTGTGCCCTTGGGCTCCTTTTTGGGTCACTTTGCCAAAATTTAGGTGGTTTTTATGTTTACTGCTTACTAAACTGGCTTGGTGGGTATGGCAAGAGGAAATGTTTAACTGTGTGTGTAGTGGCTCGAGCTGACATATGCTTTTACTTCAGTCTCCACTCCACTCTTTGGGCATTTTTGGGGGGCTTTGGTTGTAGCCATGCTCATCTCTAGTTGCACCTGAGCTGTCCAGACCCCAGGAAAGCCAACATGCCTGTGCCAGTGTACCCAGAGCACCCAAATTTCGCCCTTCTAGATCATAATGGAACTTGCCCCAAGTCCTCTGCTAAAGCTGTGTGTGCACATAGGCATGAGCACAGGCTGTGTGAGAGACAAGTTCAAATTCCTGCTTGGCTGATGGTTTGGGGTTCCTTTCCTCTCTATCCCCACTGTGTGCTCAGCACAGCCAGCTCAAAAGAAGACAAGAGATTCACCAGAGTTGGAAGAATTCACTGATGCTATTTTCATTCAGTTAGGGGAAGAATAAGGCACATTTTTATTGCTCATTTTATGGAAAAAGGTGGACATTTCAGGCAGCTGCTGCTGGTAGCAGCACTGGGAGTGACAGTGGATGAGAAACTCACAATGAGCTGTCAGTGTGCACTTGCAGCCCAGAAAGCAAATTGAATTCTGGGCTGCATCAAAAGGATTGTGGCTAGCAGGTCAAAAGAGGTGATTCTTCCTTTCTACTCTGCTCTTGTGGGACCCCATCTGGAATACTGCATGCAGTTCTGGTGTCCTCAACATAAGGACATAAAACTGTTGGAGCAAGTCCAGAGGAGGGCAACGAA